CCCTTTAAACCTCACTTTGATTCAAAACTGCTTGGCAGGATGGTATCAAGTCATGAAATGTTTTAAACATATACGTCTGACAGGGCATGCTCTCTCAAGAGCGGAGGGTGGACATGTGCAGCAGTTTAGGAGACCAGTCGCTCGTGGAAGACCACAAGAGACTGATGGTAAGTGGGAAATTTCAGTATTTTTAAAGGAATGAAGCTTGTAGGTATCAGACTGTTCCATCTGTTGTCTTTTCAGTTGTGCAGTAGGTAAGAGTTCCATATACGGACATCACCTAATTTTGCCTTTTAGTGGTTTACTTGCCACCAGAAACTGATAACATGTCCTTAAAAAAAGCCAAATTTAGCAGGGAAAATATTTAAGCATTCACTTACAAGAGACTTTCTTACCAATCTTGTGGGGTTTGTGAAGACGGTGTCTAATGATGTTCGGGTGTGGAACTCTTTCCATGTAGTATTTGATCAAAGCTTGAAAGTTTAATCTCCTTGGAATGATTCCCAAGAAAGTCATTACTCTCTCCATTGTGGGAAAAGTTTCCCATGCGCGGCATGACACTTTAGGCTAACAGAATAATAAATTGTCCTCTTAAAATAGAACAGTTGTGAGTTCATTATTGCATTAGTTTTGTCAATGCCCGTTTCTTTGGGGACTGTTCACTTCATCCCTACATTCCATAGGGTATTCATTCATGTACTCTCATGCCTCAAGTTTTAACCTGGCTCTCGTAACACCAGCTTTTCCGCACCTTCTTCAGTAGTTCCCATGTTACCCAGGTTTGCATCATTGCCAAATCTGTATGACTAGGGATTTACACATGAATATTTCGCCCTTATTTGTTTTGTTACAATTAATACCACTTCCCACTTGCTGTTTTGTATGTGAAGCAGTTTGTGTTCAGATTCAGCGCATCAGCCCTAGTTTCGTGGGGAGCCTGTTGAAGCGGGGCATCGCCTGGCATGTCACAGCATGGCCCGTGAGAATGTACAACAAGGAAATACAAGCTGGACACGGCAATTTTTTTTTCCACTGTTTAATGGAAGACGGAAGTGATGTACAAATCTACACATCTTTCTTTCTGTGCTCCACGGAGAGATGCAACGATGCATTCAGTGCTGTAAGGGGAAGTAACATAACCAATCCAGTTCAGTTAAGTTGCCTAAGAATTAAAAGAGAGAAAAGGAAGTATACAGGCAAGGGAAAAAGCAACTTTAGATTGATTTTTAATGATGATTCTCATATTAATTAACCCTCCTTTTCACTTGCTTACAACTGAACTCATCATTTGAGTTATTTCATTTGTTATTCATATCAAGCGTAACTAAAAACAATGATTGTATAATTATCAGAAGAGATTTTTTGACATTGTCCTCTTGAACTTCGGACCAGTTCCTTGACATTCTAATAAACAGCGTGGGAACTCACACACACTAGCCAATGAAAAGACCATGGCACTACCCTGCTTGTACATGTACATGTTTAAGACCTGTCACATTCACGTTTTGCCATTCATACCATGAGTGGTACCCACTTGCCACAGTTTGAAGCACTTCTAAATTTGGACCAGACTTGAGGTTGGCAGTTTGAAGAACCTGAACATTTGATATGGTGATCTAAATGAATTATAATTTGCTTGGATCATCCAGCTGATGATCCAAGAAAACTTTTATCCTGTATCCCGAGTCCATGCAGCAGCAGCCAGGAAATTATTCATCTCGCTTAGTGTTAACGTGGCTTACTTTTTGTTTCAGGTGTGTTGTGAATTATCTTGCCCCCTTTATTGTCTATTACCAGTCCCCTCTTCACCATTTTTATCATAATTAGTTTTAAAAATTGATACAGCAGACCGGTTGGATGAGATTTTCTTTTTCAACTTTTTATCTTTGATAATATCAATGTATTCATTGGAAAATTAACAATTTTGTTGTTAAATGCAGAAGATATGCCATCTGGTAACTATTTGGACAGTACTCGTAATTTTGTATGTGAAGTACCAAATTCCCCATAAGGTGCTTGAAAAACATTTTCCAATTATAAAATCAGTTTGTACCTTATTTTTGTAATTCTAAGCTGTGTATTGCTTTGGGGTGAACTTAAAAGGTATCATAATAACTTGTCCATAGACGAGTGGTTATGTTATCTTGACTGACCAAGAGCTACTCGCATGGCATTCGCTGTCTTTGCTATGTCACATTCAATGGTAAAAATGAAATACCCAAAGCAACCACAGAATATGCACGACCACCTTAAGCGTGGAAATGCATACTGGTGTGTGTGCTACGTACACTCTGAAGTGCTAGTGCAGTCCTACAAAGCCAGGTTTAAAGATTTCATGAAGAGATAGTTGTGTTGGATGTATTGAGATCAAGGTATTCAGTTATTGCATAAATCAAATTTAATCTGTGGGAGAGGTGTAAATTGATGTACACATCCATAGACCACATAGTCTGGTGGTGAAGAAAAACTAGCCTCCTTTGGTGATTCATGGAGTATGTTCATACTCCATGAATCATCGAAGGAGGCTAGTTTGCTATTGGATCAAAGAAGGCTAGTTGAGGCAACTACATTTGTACTCCATGAATCACCTCAGGAGGCCCGTTCTACTCCTACAGTGCTTTACCCTAAAAGAGTCTCATCAGTTTGGATCATCTCACAGCCAGGGATTCCCACTTCCTCCCAATGCAGAAGTATGTTGCTAAAAGGAACAATCTTGTGTTGAATATTTACAACTCTGACCAAGAGTGTCACAAGTCAAACTCATGGGAGTATTGCTGTGTGACCGTTTCATGTTGGTTTGTTTAGTTACTGTTACATGATTTTACACTTGCGTTATAGTCCTTGCCATTTACATGCATATTATGTATAATCTGGAAAGCCTTGCATTTGAGGACCAAAATTTGAGTAGACCAAACAAGTTTATTTAGACATCACATTTTATTTTCAGAATCTGATGAAGACATCAGAACTTATGTGTAGTTTGAATAAGCAGGAAGCGATTATAGAAATCATTGTACATCGCACAAACACTGTTGTTTCTTGAGCTCAAATATATATTTTCCTCCTCTGTGCTTTTGAGAATAAATACCAGAAATCTTTTATGAAGCCTTTGAGAAATAGAGTTTTGTTACTCCGTCATAACAATTCCAATATGGCTCCTCTTACATAGATGTAACAGTGCAGGCATTTCATAAGCAGTACCACCGCGCTTGCGTTTCCCCATCCTCTGCTGGCAGCTTTGATAAACATTTCAGGATAAACTACTCAATGTCACATCTTTTTAACAAGCTTTTCATTCGCCCAACAAACGTGTGATGATAGAGCAATTTGAGCCTTAGTTTATGCTTACGAACCGAATGGTATATCTAAACTATTAGATACAAAAGCCCATTTGGTTTCCAAATGATAGATATAAAAGAAAGTCACCAGTGTTGTAGTCGAGACCACTTGAGACCTTCACAAGCCTACACAAGACCTCCAGTCTGAATTCAAGTCGCAAGCTATTCCAATGAACTGCAGCAAAAGCATTCCTTTGTCACTGTTCAACCTGTTACATGCCACTGGTCTTGTGCATGGTCTTGTGTCTGGTCTCATGATGGACTCGACTAAAACACTGCAAGTTACCAATGAAGCTTCCCTCTTGGCAGAAAGTGCTCGGAATGCAAAAATCTCACAAGGACACATGAAATCGACTCTCCACCAGGAGACTAGGTTGAATAACTACAATGACAACGGACCATATTCCTCATGCTTCTTTTACTTTTTGCCCCATATGATCAGAATTTCTTTCTTACACAACTATAAGTGAAGCACACACTACATGTAATGTTTCCATGAAACATAACAACATATACAAAACCCTTGCACATTTCTAGTGAATTTGACCCAGTGGAAGAATGGAAACTTCAGAAGGTCAGATGAATTCATTCTTCAACTTTTTTCCCAAACAGTTTTGAACTGGAAGTATAAAACTTTGATCCTGTGCACTTATAGAAAATACCCCAAATACTATGCCTGCAAAAACTTTTTCCTAACCACCAACAACAAAAAAATTGATATTATTCTACCCTGTTTCTCCCAGCAACATTAAATCTCAAGAAATCTAGAGGCCACTCTTGGAATGTTGACGCAATATCCAACACTTCAATTGACTTAAGATTCACAATCCTTTGAGGAAAGAAGTCATCAGTGAATTCAAACATTTTTGCCTTCAGCTTGAACAAGAAGATACCCAGGCAATATTCATGTTATTGACAAGATAACGTAAGCACTCGCAAATTTACTTTCAATATATCAACATCAGCATATATTTACCTGCGTCTTTCTTGCACACAAAGGTCCACATATTGGCAAGAGCAAGGAATAAAACATTAAAGGATTTTTAATAACTTGCGTAATTACTGACCGATATTAGGTGCTGGGCACTTTAAAAAGCAAGGATGCCCTATGCTGACATAAAACATTCAATTAATTATGACCGGACACTGGCTTTTGTTCGTCGTTGGACTAGTCCACTTAAAAATTTTATATTCTGGCTCTTGACCAAATTTGGAACCAACATGCAAAGCTTGGTTGCATCATTGGCCATCACCAGCCACGTGTGTCAAGTGTACATCAGCGGGGCCCACAGACGCAAGGTGCAAATCAAGAACTTACCACTACCTGCTGATGGGCCTTGGCTCAAATCACTCTCGTTCTGTAAGCTTAAACGACTTACTAAAACAGTTTTTCTTAATGTTTTGTTATATTCACCGATCTCTATACACTGGCTGGATAGTACATGCCCTGCTGCTGTGCACAAGTAAATGAGGGCCCCGTGACTCTATCTTTTAGCCTCCACAAATGGCTGCTAGCTAGCACCAGTACAATCCGGTGAAGCACAGAATGCCAAGCATAATTATAAGTTTCAAATTTTGTGAGTGGCCTTAAGTGTTAATGTATTCGTGGGTTAAAGATATAAGACATGCTTACTTTTATACACATGGCATAAGTACAAAGCTGGCCTGAGTATCAAGTTCTCGAGTCTCTCGGTCAGTCCTCGTCAACTTTGGGGCCTTGAAAGATGGCACCTCAATGACAACAAGCCCTCGATCTGTCAATGCACTATCCAGTCAGAATACAGATATCATGCAGTGCTGGCATGTTAATTCACTTACACGCAAACAAGTATTATACAAATATAGCATGGTTTCAGGGGGACAAGTGGGAATTACTGGTCCTGAGGTGTAGGTCAGCTTTGACTACCTCTCAACGTGAAGCGAAAGGAGGTAGTTTAGCTGACCTACACCAAAGGACCAGTAATTCTCATGACTTCCCAGAAATAAATCATGCCTTCTGTTTTACTACACCACATAAAATTCATTCATGAGCAAATTGACTCAATAAAAAATTCAAGGTCAACATACAATTTGTTTCTGAGCAGCCAAGTCCCACGTGTCTGGCAAGAACTACGACAGACTGGTTCCGTTAAGATTACATGCCAAAGATTAGATGGCTACAAGGCGGGTGCCAGAGGGACTTCTTGGTGCTACCAGAAAACACTACCGCACGGCAGCGAGTGGGATGCTCACCAGGGTTATGTCACCTGGGAGAATATCCTTTCTACTTCCCAGACAAGCGGATAAATTGGCGAATGACACACTCCAATTAGTCGTGAATATTTATGAGGTGTAGTAAAAAAGCTACTGTCTCACTCTCATGAACAGCTAAAATGGCAGCTTTGAATATCTGCATACTAACAAATAATGTCTTTTACAAAGTCAACTGACTAAAATTTCCACCACAAGAAGACTGTTCTTGCAAGAACATTTATTATGTACACAAAAATGCATCCGCCAACATTGCAAGTTTTTAAAATACATTTACTTGGATTACGTGGAGAGGCCATAGCACATTGGAATTACTGTTGATTTTCACTTTTCTGCTGCTACATATTTGTCACTGTGGATATTACCTTGGAGACGGAGTGAGAGATTTCGGAAACAAGCCTGTGCTGACGTAGTCAGTTAACATCTGTTGAAGAAAAAAAAACTAGACAACACGGAACTAATGTAACAGATGTCTGACCCTTTCAATTTTCCCAGCGATCAGTGGCATATCGAGGGTACAATTTCAGGGGGGCACCTGGGGGTGCAAATGTTTTCAAGGGGGAACCGACACCAAATGGACTGCAGCCTACGTATGAACTCCGGGATGGACCATGAGAGGGCCCAATTCTCCTAGCAACAGAGGCTCCTTTTGTTGGAACTGCACTTGGCGGGTTCACAAACGTCTATGAAATGCACACTTTACGGTCACGTCGTTACAAGCAAAAGGAGCACTCTCCACCGGCATGGCTTTTTCAACCAGTGAGGGGGTGCTACTGCTCAGGGCAGATAGGCTTTGTTCATTTCAAGATTTCAAATGGGGCACAAGAGGTAGGTGCTAAGGTATGGAGCAGAGAGGTGCAAGGCTCATGGGGGGGTTGACTTAAAAGTACCTTGAAGATCAATCACATTGCTTCGATACAAAATACTTTACAAGGAATTGGTCATTGTAACCCATATCATGACTAACCTGGCAGCTTCTCTTCACATTAAAAACAAAATCATCATTTGGGGAGTTCAGTTCCACCGTGAGAATGCTCAGAGTATAAAACATGCATTGATGAAGGTGGCAGACAAATCTAGGGATTTGAGGATGTCACAAAACAGCTCTTGTTCTCCGAGAATTTTTTGACCTTGCGGCCATAATAGGGGTTTTATAACACAAGAACAGAGGGAAAAAAACAGGTCAAGTAAGTTAGATGTCATTCTCGGCAAATGACAACGGCCATTTGCCTGAAATTCATCAGGACCCCACTCCGGTTCAAATTGGGACGGTTCAACTAAATCATACGATCCAGTGTTGATCAACATTATTGATGGGAAAGCAATTCCAAGTCACTCTCAGTGTCCGACCTCTTTTAATTCACAGTTAAGTACGAGCAAGCACAGCGGTCATGCACGCGGGCTCGTTTGCCCCGAAATAATGAAATAATCGTATCATTGCAGAGCCATGGTGTGACGTCATCAAAACAAGCTTTTCTTGGATGCTGCAAATGACTTTTGTTTTCAGTTTCAGTTTTCAAGAAGACTTCAACTCGTGCTTTTGACGTCAGTAGCAATCGTTAATTTTTACCTACCTGTTTGAAATATGCTACATGTAAATTTCACAAAAATTGAAACTGTGAATTACCAATGTGATTGATCTTTAAGTACAAAAATTTGCCTCAGGGACTCAAACTTCACAATGCCCAGTAAGTAGCTACAAGCAGCGCAAGCATATCTTTGGAACCTGCCAGCAATGACCATTGGGAACAGTGCCATATTAGGAAGGTATCAGTACTCTATTCAGTGGAACATGAATGGAGAAACTTTCAAATTCGGAATAGTAGAAACAATTAACCAAAACAAGATATAGTGTGCCCTTTATTTTGACCACAGCAAGGCTACTACTCACGGATAGTGATCACTGGAATGCATGTCCATGCCACCTTCCCCCACCCCCAAAGTAAGCTCAGTTTTTGGTATCAGCCACTTCTGCCTTACTTAGCCATGGCTGGCCGAAAACATGAATGCTTTTGGGAGCTACCGACTAGCCCATTAAGTCAATTGCCACAGATGCATAGACCGCTGTAGCCAAGAAATCCATTCATGACCAAACCCCACAGGCACAGACATCACTAGCACACACCTGCCAACTAATTTCCCAAACCCAGGTTGTTAGGTCAAGCACCCCACCCCCTTCTCTCTTACCTCCCTCAGAGAATCCTCGGTCAGTGTCGGCTTGGTCAGCTGGAAGCCAGTCGACTCCAGCTTCTGCCCGTCCATGTGTAAATGCTTGTTGTACAACAGTTCCTGATCACAACAGAAAATTGGACAAAGATTTGAGATTGACAAGTTTCTTTTTTACCATCTTTTTAATGAAGGCAGCCCATCCAATCAAAGCTGACCATTTCAGGCCTTCACAGTGAAGAAGTGTTCAGATTTAGATGTGGGAGGAAAACCCCGGATTAAGTTCTCGGGGAAAACCAACAGAATCAGGTAACCTTGGCGGGATTTGAGCCTGGGCTGCAGAGGTGGAAGGCAAGGGCAGCGCTTACGTATCAACCTGACTCCCCTCCTGACACAGGGGATTGAGTGGGAGGTAGGGCTGAGTCAAGTCAAATAATTCACATTTTGAATATTCGACCTTCAATTCAGTCGAATATCCAAATATTTGGTCGTACAGACCGGCAGATTGTTGAGGAACAAACCATATACAAAAATCAGTTGCACACAATTGTACATTATCATCACTATAATAGCTCCTCACGTCTACAAGTATCTCTGGCCACAATTCAACAAAATTTGTGAGAGGAAAAATACTTCTTTCCTGTTAAAAATATATACTCCTTTTAAACTTTTTAACAAATAAGGTACTTTTAAAATCGTTGACAGGTTTTGGTCACTTTTCATTTGAATCTACTTGGAACAAGCCTCCATAGTGCAATTTTTCTCATTTAAAATAAAAGAAAATTCTCCCTTCCTTTTCATGAATTTTGCATTTGAATATTCAAATTCGAAAAATAACATTCGTATATGCGATAATCGATCGAATATTCTGTTATTCGGCACAGCCTTAATGGGAGGGGGGGTTGTAGCAGTGGCATGTCCAGGTTTCACGCCTCTGGCAAGATGGAACTTCCTATTAAATGGCAGTTCAATCGTCTGCAAAAGCATCCTCACCCATTAACCCCCCCAGCCATATACCACTAGGTTGGAAGGAAGAAGTTCTTTTCTAAGTCTATTCCTCAAAACCTTCTTAATGCTTTCACAACAAGTGAACAAATTATTATAAAGTGGTCATTTGTAAATAATCTGTGCACCGCTATCTGCACGTGGACATGCTTTTGAAAGTTGCAAGGGAATTCAGGCAAGGAGCCATGTAATACTAGTAAGACAATTCAAATTAATGGTATATTTTGGCTTGTCCTGCAGGTCTCATAGGACAAACACCTCAGCAGATGGGGGAGGGCATACCCTTGTTGATCAAATGTCTTAAATTCAATCCACATTAACATAAAAGAAATACACTGCTTCTAACTGCATACTGATGGGAGTGACGTACGATGTCTGAACGTTTGAGAGCGGGGCATTCTAACACGTTATCCAGGATCAAAACTTTTACAGCTTTAATATGATCAACATCGTCACCTTTCTGAGAAAAACTTCAAAATGCACATACATGTAGTATCACTGCATTTTTGCTGGCAAAAAACTAAAATCATGTTATTTTCAAACATTTGTTGGTACAGATGTTTAAGGCATGAAAATTCATTCACTTATTAGTTGTGAAGTTACACATACATTGTACATGAGGCTTCGGGGATGGCAGAATAATGAGCACAGCTCACCTGGTGAAGATACGGACTTAGCGGTGTGTACTGCAGGCCATCTTGATTACAGGCCTCGGTCCACGGCGTGAAATGCTTGTCGTTGGAATCGTCCACAATCTCAGCCATGTTCAGCTGTAGGTACATCATTCAAAATATTCAACTCAAAGTTGCAAAGCAATAAAGGAAGGAACAGTGATCTCCCATTTGAACTAGGCGAGTAAAATCAATAGTGACGAGCTGTGCATGTATAAAGCACCACCAAAAACGAACGTGAAATTCACTGTAGGATCCCAATACTGCATAAAATGCAGATGGACACAGATGGCAGAAAGACTTATCCAAACACTGATCCAATCAACAAAATTGAGGACTGAGACCACACAATAACATACCCGTGCAAAATTGGAGATGACAGTGCCAAAGTAGTCGTGCTTGATGTCAAATATTCTGCACACCAGCTCGGTGATAGACCCTTGCGCTGAAATAAATAGAAATGTCGTCTTGAGATACATGATGAGGTGAATTCTATGCAGCTGATTGGTTGAAAAATATGTTTGGAAAACTCAAAACTTTCTATTGATCAACGCAATGTTTATAAGTCACACCAAATATGGTAACATTAACGCTGCATTCTGTTGACCTAAACAAATTTTCTTCCCCATGTGCACTGCAATAGCTTTAAGTACCAAAATACACTCTCCTGCGGACAGTTTTTAAAACTACATATGACGTCTGGCAGAACAGAATTCGTATGGGTCAAGTAATGCAGGCAGTAGGGTCAGGAGCCAGGCTATTTCTTATGGGTATAACAGTGCATAGAGTGAGAGGGAGACGCACACATGTAATGTCTGGTAACACAGGGTTTGAGTAACTTCTGTAGAATGCTCATTTGGCTTAATGTGTCATGGCGTGTGGAATTATGACGCTTCCCCGTTATTTTTGTTCAGTGACCTCAGCAACTCACTCGTGTCCGATTTGTCAACAATGTTGTAGACGTGGCCTTGCTCCCCGTGCTGTACGAGATGCCAAATCGCTGAACACACGTCGTTCACGTGAACCGTGTTCATCTTCAGTTCTGGTGTCCACAGCAACTAGTATCATACAAAACCGTGAAATAAGTGGGCTAATTACACAACTTGAGGTAAAAAGAAATAATTTTCATGCCCGAAACCTTAAACATCTGCTTACTGGTGCTTTGCCACATCTCAACCCTAAAAGAGCTGGGCAGATCCACCCTCTCAACATTTTCTCCAATATTGTTGCAGTGAATTTTTTCCAATGACAAAGTAATATTTTTAAGTAACATCTTCCAGTCATTTTGAGACCAGTTTTGTGAAAATCAAGCATGTCATTCTCATGCAAGGTGCATTTTTCCAAGACAGGTCAGCAAAAAGTCCATCCTTTTTCCACTGCTTGCTCAATGCACACAGGACGACACGTTTGAGGTCATGAACTTCAAATGATCAAAAAAATCAAAACCGTATCTCATATTGAATTGACACCTCACATATGTTCTAATGAGTGAGCATCCTTACTTGCATTCCAAGTTTCAAAATGATTGGCCGGGTACATGTATGTGCTAGCTGAGTTGGAGGGAGGAGGGGTTGAAATTCCCCCTTTGGCTGTGAGATGGTCCAAATTAACCCAGCTCTTTGAATGTTAACACCACATTTCTAAAATCTTTGTGTAAAATTGCGGCCAGGTTAAGAAAAAGCGCCGATTCACAGACACAGGTGAGAAACACTGTTCACAGAATGCTGTGCCTCATTGGACTGACACACGGCAGGCATTTAAAACATAAATGTACATTACTGTATGCCAAGTTTCAATCAAATCTGTCAATGCTAATTCCACATCAAGAGACGCGGAAAAGCAGTACATCCCCCAAACCTCTGGTTCATTTTAGGGCAGAAGTTTAAGGTTTAAAAAAAATCACACTGTCTGCAAATTTCATATGTTCAATTACAAATGGCAAGGTGAGCAAATTTTCATTTATCACTGTAGTTGCAAGACGGTGTCAGCCCCACTGAGCCTCAGGGATCTAACAAGGCCTAAAGAGTGTTGTTTACCTTCATTTTCTCTTGAAGGTGTCGGTAGACAGCTGCAACAATCAACCTGGGCACTGGAGGGAGAACGGGGAATAAAATCAACATCAGTCTAAGACATCAATTCAGATAGATGAATCATACACGTGATCTATGAGGATCAAAGAGAAGACAAGTGGGAGAAATAGCACTGGTGGTGGCCATCTCTTTGGGTATACAAGTAAAGTAAGTTGAAGGAGTGAATTGGTCAGTTAGACTAGAGAACTCAAAAGTTACAATGTGTCAAACATCAAACCATGCCAAGGTATCAAATGATGTTGAAGTTTATGTACACGTACTAGGTGCACAAAGCTGGCCAATTTACAAACTGCCTTAAAATGAAACAGTACTCACTGAGTCCAGAGCGATCGCCGATTCCATAAACAGTGGCTGGTCTGAGCACGACGTACTTAAGTCTGGAGGGCATAAAAATGACAATCAGACATTGACCACGACCAAAAATAGACATGTATCTTGGACAAAATCACAACTCAGAAAACGGACATGGATTATGAAAGCATCCAAAACACAGAAAAGAAAATGAAACCGGTAACACCCCCAACACACAACAAATGATAGGTTCATCCTTAAAAACAGAAGAAAAGGCAGAGTTGATATCAACTAAAGTTAACTTTGGATTTCCAATGGACAATTGAAGGGGTAGTCAGAACACGTTAATTAGAAAGCAAGTCGCAAATCCTCTGGTAATACATTTCAATGACCGATGGCAGAGTGTTTAGTCAATAACATGACACTGGAGATATGAACACTCAATACAATTCCAAACACCAGCCCAAAGACTTGCCACAAGTGACATGGAGATAAAGGAATGCTGTCATTGCAGCTCATTTGAATAGCATGGGATCTTGGGACTGTCTTGCGGGATCTTCTGATGGTCTTAAGGGGTCTCAAGTATGCGACACTGCTGCGATAAAAGAATTCCTCGGCCACCTGTCATGCATGGATAATCTTAAGATTTGACATGTCACCGACTTGGTGACACTTCCTATACAGCAGCAAATGGTAACCTCCAGCTTTCAGTATTTTTCCTCGGATTCATTTTTAATCTCGAAATTCATCTTAACTGGAAGTCAATCTCACCCTTCGATACGAGGCAACTCTTCCTCAACCAGAAACTTGTATTTAGCTATGCCCGTCCACGGAGATACCTTGGCATCTTCTGAACTTGCTTTCTGGTGAAAAAAATTCAGCAGAATATAGCTAATATTAAATGAAAGGGGAGTCTCCTGAATAAAAATCCAAAAACTGCAGTTGATGGCCTCGTGTGTCAATCCAACTAACTCCATAAATGTGACATCTGGATTCAGTCATGGTGTCTACGGGATACATAAGCATGTATGTCTAAATCTTTACACCAAACTCTCCAATCACACATCTGTAATGGTTTGCTGCGTTCCCTGGCTGTTCATTTGGGAAGAAGCCGAACTCTTTTACAGCAATCGGATCAACAATGGCCAGGGTCTATTTTATATCTGTAACAATCTTGCCTCAAAAATATCAAGCTGTTAAATTAACTTCGAAATTCTCTGAAAAATTCCCAAACAACTAGATGAATTTAAACCATGATTGCGAATTCACAATTCGGTTCCTGTGAGCGACCCACTACATCAAATCTACAAAATGTCACCAGGTGTCACCCAGCATCATAAAAACACCCATACATACAGTATGTTCCAATCTTCGCTCATAAACCCACTCTCGGCACTCTGACTGAATGGATTTGGTTGGACTGGTGAACCAAGGCACACACATCCACGAGCACAGATGGTGAGTGTAGGTTATGTACATGTATTTATAATCACTGATCATGGCAATCACCTACCCACAATGCTTCATACCTCCTTAATAATATTTTGTGATAGACTTAACCAGAACCAGCACCTTTAGTTAGGATGGTGGGTACCAGGCAAAGTTAAATAATATATTTCCGTTGGAGAAACACATCTGGGTTTCTAATATGAGCACTCATACTTTTTTGGGGTTGTAGGGACTACCACACTCACATCATTACATGTTGGAACATATTTTGCCCCACAAGTTGGTCTCCACTTTCCTAACAAAATGCAGCAACAGCCTGGACCATATGGCTGACCTTATCTCCTGCATAGACCTGGCCAGTAGACAGCTCAATAAACTTCTTGGCTTGTCTTTTAGCAGCCTCCTTAGCACAGTTGAGACTCAACGAGAGCACACCTTCATTGTAAACCTTTATGTTGTGTCCAAAAGAAAAAACAACAGAAAACAGCCCATTATTCACAACCTTCCACCATCTGTTTTGCAACAAACCGCTCTCTCTCTCCAGAGCCAAAGCAAAATGTACTGTTATAGTGCAGTCCTAGTAAATTTCTATTAGGTCGCAAATTGATTACACGATGTGAAACAAGCACGCATGTATGACTTACGGTGCTGTGCTACAAAAATGATGGATAGTGATGATCTTTTCCACAGTTGATGTGTCGAGTCCACTGGGTTGTAACAGTGTAAACTTGGGTACGAGAACGGATACCCGCGCTGGCACTATGCATTAATTATTGTAGGCGACGTGTTTGGGCCAGTGACGCACTGTGTGCGTTTGCATACACCTGTGCTTCTCTGTACTCTGACCATGACCAATACCTGCGGGTTAGACATCCGTTCGTGCATGCAACTATGCTTTTGCAAAACGAATAACATGCTCCGATCATTGTTCCTGCTGAGACTGTCATTGTGAATATACAACGCTGGTGTCATTGTCGCTTCTTGTCTGCTCTCCAATCTTGCCAATATTTTTCACCGGAAGTTTGTGTAAATAACGTCTCGAAATTCAACCGGTCCACAAGAAACCCCAGTGCTTTATGAACACCAGGTTTCTCTGTAAAACAGTTTATCAATCCTAGATTTCTCCCTCTTTCCAAAAAACAAAAACAAAACACAGCTCAACAGGGAACACTAGACACAATTTTCATTTTCCTTGTAATTTAATATCTTAAGTGTTTTAACTTATCTTGCAATAAGTAATGCCTGCATTACACATAGAACACTGCTTCAGTGTAATCTGTGACCATGGCGTAACAACATAATTGTTGCCTGCTGTGACCTGATCCATAGGTTTTGCCTTAGCCTTGAGTGCCATCTGCCCCCTCGGGTGTACAAAACGCCATGGACCTCTACACAGCAGGCAACAAGCAATTCCAAGGAAGAACAGTTTGGAATTTACTCTCCTCTTCATCCATGGTCGCAGTGGAACCTGATTTCTTGCCAAGGTCGTATTTCCTTAGCAGTGAGCTCAAGTTTCGGGCACCAAGAAATAGATCAATCGCCAATGTTCAAGCATGTTCAACAAAGAACAAATTATTGGAAAAAAATAGGTCCATTCAGAACTCACAAACTGGGACAAAATATAAAAGTGATTTAAGCAGGCCATCAAAATGGACAGTGAAAGTTTTAATTGCACGTAATTTAAATTCCCAATGAGTTATAACAGCTCGTTCACTTTCAAAAAATTAGGTACTTAACAACACAAAGATTTTATTATACCACACTGTCCACATATGTACACTAAGAGTCGAGACAGACCTGTGTCCAGAAAAGTTTGAGCAAGTTGCTATGACAACCGGCCAAGTGACATCAAAGCCATGACACTGAATTTCCTCCACATTACACTGTGACACTGAATGTGGAGCCCTTGGCAAATCCACATCAGAAAAAGTCAAACTAGAAATGACAGTAAATAGCAACCCTAGTGAAGCCATTATTGACATTACAACATTGAGACAATGATTAACACTGCATTCACATGAAAGCAAATGGCTCTGCAGTCTAGCACAGTATGGATCAATGGTGTAACCCACAGAAGAGCAAACCTATTTAGAAAAAGTACCAGGTACCTTCCTGGGGAAGGGACAATTGTTTCTGAAAAATCCAACTCGCCAATTTGTCTCCCCCCTAGCATATCCAATGTAGCATTACTGTTTGTTCGTCATTTGCTTGCTTGTTTTTACCTCATCTGTGCAACCGTACTTGGTCTGTGCGGCCAGGTTCACCACGATGTCAAATGACTCTTCGCCATCATCAAAAATCTTGGACACCGACACTGCATGTGCAACCAGGAAGTAGAACCGTGTTAGTTCCACAAGTTTTGCTTGCGAGGGAAGTATTGAGGCACCATCAATACCAGCAATATTAAGGCCATTTCCTGTTCATATCAGCTTTCAAACAATGCAGCATTTGCGGCTTGCTGAAGCAATATCCA